TCGTTAAAAAACGACTAGCAGAGAGATGGCAAAATGTGTGGAATGCACAAATCCACAATAAACTTCACGAGATCAAACCTTCGGTAGAAAATTGGACACATAATAGGCAATATGATAGGAGATCTGAGGTTATCCTTACTCGTTTGAGAATTGGACACACACGACTGACTCATCAATACCTTTTGAAGGGAGATGACGAACCAGTATGTCAGCACTGCAACTGTGCTGTAAGTGTTAAACACATATTTTGCAACTGTGTTGCTTTTGATCAGAGTCGTAGACAGCATTTTGGAAATGCAAGCTTTAGAGACATTTTGGGCCAGAGGCCAAACTTGGATAATATACTGGACTTTCTGAAAGTCATTAACATGTATAGAGAAATATAATGATTTATTTATTGTATAGTTTTATTTATGTTGTGTTGCATATTTAAATTATTGTATATATTTTTGTTGTTTATGTTTTTATTTTTTGTTGTTGTTTATTTATTTATTATATTATAGATTCTATATATATATCACCATTGGCTTTTGAATGGTGAAACTGTTCTGTATATATGTTTTTTTTTATTTATTTTATACATCCAATCATACCATTTGTCGTGGCGCAGTATAGCCTGCATGGCTTTTGTGCCAATAAAAATTAACCAACCAACCAACCATCTTAGTACTAAGAATATCTTATCACTTGTCAACTTATACTGTTCAAGAACAATTTTTAACTGTTCACTGATTTGTGTAGCTGTATGGGAACCTTCAAAGGAAACAATTTGCATAACATCTCTTTCCTGCTGAAAATTATCATTGAACCAGTGGGCTGTTACACTTAAAAAAAAGAATTGGTTTTAGTTGCTATCCAAATATCAGCGGTTAAAGAAATATACTTTGTTTCTGTTAAACACAGAAACACTTCAACTTTTTAAACAATGTCGAAGTTTCCATGCGTCAACAATTAACTGTTGAGATTTATTTTAGAAACAAAGGAAGAGATTGTTGATTTTGCGAGGATATTCGATTCTCTTTTGTTTACCTGACCCAAAAGAGATGGAAATACCAGGTGGAGAAAAATGGGTTTTTTCCACATTATAATTAACTTCAGGATCTCACACTATTAATGCAATAAATTTTTAATACTAATCGGCCAATTAATCGGTATCTGTTGATAATGCATGGCCGATTAATCTGTAATCGACCATTTTGCTTATCGGTTCATCCTTAGTTAATAGCATTTTACCTTGGTCAACTCCAAAGATAAATGTTGATTTAAGCTTAAAGCAGTTTCCCAAAGAAATCACACCAGATTACATCTATAGACAGCACTTTGCAGTAATTCAACGCAGTGACTGGAATTTAATTCCTATTTTCACCGATGGATCAAAATCGGAAGACTACGTTGGCTCAGCCTTCATCTGCCAAGATGAAATCGTGGCAGAACAAATTGAATCGAATTCATCCATCTTTACTGCAGAGCTGCAGGCTATTCACCTAGCCTTAAAGTATGTAATCAGAAAAGGTCATCGTCACTGCGTGATTTACACTGACTCAGTTAGTGCACTTCAGGCTTTGATCTCGTGTGAACCTAGTTTTCATTCTATAGTGATTAAAATCCATAAACTGTTTTGCCATCTTTGTGCGAGTAATATTTTTGTAAAATTTTGTTGGGTCCCAGGCCATGTAGGTATAAGAGGAAATGAAGAAGCTGACGCAGCTNCATCTGCCAAGATGAAATCGTGGCAGAACAAATTGAATCGAATTCATCCATCTTTACTGCAGAGCTGCAGGCTATTCACCTAGCCTTAAAGTATGTAATCAGAAAAGGTCATCGTCACTGCGTGATTTACACTGACTCAGTTAGTGCACTTCAGGCTTTGATCTCATGTGAACTCAGTTTTTACTCTGTGGTCATTTAAAATCCATAAACTGTTTTGCCATCTTTGTGCGAGTAATATTTTTGTAAAATTTTGTTGTGTCCCAGGCCATGTAGGTATAAGGGGAAATGAAGAAGCTGATGCAGCTGCAAAGTCAGCAAGCCCTTCTCAGTATACAATGCATATTGAAGGAGGTGATTTGAAGCTAGTTGTTAAAAAACGACTAGCGGCGAGATGGCAAAATATGTGGAATTCACAAGTCCACAATAAACTACATGAGATCAAACCTATGATAGAAAATTGGACAGATAAGAAATTCTATGACAGGAGATCTGAGGTTATTTTTAGTCGTCTGAGGATTGGACACACTCAGTTGACTCATCAATACCTTTTGAAGGGCGAAGAGCAACCAGTATGCCAGTATTGCAACTGCTCTCTAAGTGTTAAACACATATGGCTTGATTGCTCTGCCTTTGAGATCAGGCGTAGACAGCATTTTGGAAATGCAAGTTTCAAAGAGATTCTGGACCAGAGGCCCAATCTCAATGATGTATTGGACTTTTTAAAAGTCACTAATTTGTATAAAGAAATGTAATTATTTATTTATATATTTATCACATTTTTGTGCGTTGTTGTTGTTTTTTTGGACTTATTATGTGTATATTTATTTTTGTTATTGTTCTTTCTTTATTTATTATTGCCATATGTTAGTTATTTATCATGTTTAAAATTTTTTTACCATTTGCCCTGGCTCAGCATAGCCTATATGGCTCTTGTGCCNTTTGTGCGTTGTTGTTGTTTTTTTGGACTTATTATGTGTATATTTATTTTTGTTATTGTTCTTTATTTATTTATTATTGCCATATGTTAGTTATTTATCATGTTTAAAATTTTTTTACCATTTGCCCTGGCTCAGCATAGCCTATATGGCTCTTGTGCCATAAAACAAAAACCAAACAAACAAACAAAAAGTAAATTCGGCTACGGAAAATTTCTGTTGTGTCCCTTTCCTTGATGTTCTTAGCATGTGCATATTTCGCTTAATAGTTAATTAATCTCAGCCTGTATCTGAATATTTAAGTAATTATGCAGAGTATTGATCAATTATTTTTGCCTGTACTTGAATATTTAAGTCATAATGTAGAGTATTGATCAGTTAATTATGCTTATGGTTATATC